GAGGGTTGGACTGGGTGACCCACAGAGGTCCCTTCCAACCCCTACCACTCCGTGATTCTGTGATTAACCATTAGTACAACCCCAAATTGCAGAGCTACTTTTCGGGTGGTAGATCCCTCACCTCCCAAGCCTTCACTTTTTTAATCACTGCTTAACATTAGCCCAGAATGCAACTGACTTGACTTGTAAATTTAGTAGGGAAATATAATGTGAAATTAGTCACTTCAACTGGAGATTGTTTCCTTCCTCCACAAAAATAAATAATGCTGCTAAAATGAAAATGACTCTCCAGGGAGAAATAGCTATCCACTCTTCATTAGTATCAACTAAAATTAGTATGCACTACTTCTCCTTTTGAGCACTATTGTACAACACAGTTATTCTAAATGTTAGATTTACTTACTTTTGAGGCAAGTTTTTTTGACAACCATTAACGAGACAAGTACTACATAATAAAGTCTGTAAAATAGCTGATAATAGATTAGAGATACATTAGATACTAAACTAAAGCTTCATAACACAGCTTTGAACTGAACTCAATTTACAATACTGTTACAGAAGAACAATACGAAGCTGATTCCAAAATATCTAGATTGCTTTATCCAAGAGCTTTACTTACTACAGAGTGACATATAGAATGCTAATACACAACAGTTACTATAAGAACCAGCCCTAATAAAAAGCCCTTAACTGCTGCAGTAGACAGCACAGATTCCTTGTTGACCTATTTTGGAGACAGTAAGAGAATAAATATCTATCAATAAACAAACAAAAAAAAAACATGCTGAAGGGCATTTGAAATGAAAAAAAATGTGTGGTGTTAGGCCAAAACCTGCTGTTTGAGTATGTGTCACAATACCTGTTTAGTAAGGTTCTTTTTGTTTGGTTGGTTGTTTTTTGTTTTTTTTAGACAACCTATATTACTATTAAGAGTAAGGCCACTAGCAATTCAATGCAGCTTTATACACAAACAAACTGATAGCTTCAAACTGGTCTTTGTGTAAGATGATCCCTTTACAGCAAATTCAATGATGTATTAATTGTTCATTTGTTCAGTGACTTACAGGCTCTGTGAAGACTCCAGCAGCAAATTCTTAAGACCGCCTCAGACAAAAAGAAAAGATCATGATTTTGACTAATGAAGTACTAAATGTCATTAAAAAGTGGCCTACCTCACTTCTAATATAAAGAGAATAGACATTAATTACATTTAATTTTGATGGATTTTGGGGGGTAATTTTTTTTTTAAATACATAACTAGACATCAGATTCTTAAGATTTGCCAACTGCTGCTTAATTTGTGACTATTCTTTTTGTATTCTCCCTCACAGTTGTAAGCATCTGGTATTCTTGCAGGGGAAAGCGTGCAAGTATAATTGTTTACAGAACATGAAGACCACAATGGGAACTCCAAAATTAGAAAAAGAATCCTACATCACATGGAGCCAAGAGATGCCTTAAGCATTTACAAAGCAACACATGATTATTTTCATTTTAGGCACCTTGATACCAGAAGAAGAAAGGAAAGCGAAACACACATAGGTAGCAACTGCAGCAGTGCATGAGGGTTCAGGCCTCAGGAAAAACAGCCCCAAAGTCTCCACGCTGGAACCCAGCATCAGCGAGCTGAAGAGGTAAAAACTCCCAAATGAGACAACTGGATCAGGTCTGCATTAGTGGCTGTCATATCTGCTTATTTGGTATCTGAAGTGCAATACACATGCACTGTGGGCATGTTTTTTAAGTCCCAAAAAACAAATCAAAGATGCAATTGTTGCCTGCTGCTGTATGGATCTGCCTTTGCTTAGAACACCATCCCGGAGAGCTAGAAGCCTGGGGTTCAAATTCTTGGTATTTTTAAATAGTTTGAACAAATCTGTCCTGTGATTTTAAAAGCAGTTGTAAGTGCTGAAGAAAGGTCAAGCAAGAACAAGTCTGAATGGAAAAAGAAAAGGTCACCCAAATAAAACCTGTAATCTCTGACTTATTAATACAGCTTCACAAATGCAGTAACAGTTACTTGGGAGAGTCTGACAGTCACCTAAACCCAATGAAGTAAAAAGACTAGTAAAAAGGGCTAACAACGTGTTGGAGACACTTAAAATTTTAATCTTGAATCTTCGTAATGGCTTTTTTTTTTTCCTTTGAATCCCAGGGTAGATGCTAATCATTTTTCAATTTTGTCTTACAAAATTACCAACATTCATCCTATGACCAAAGTAATCCATAACGAATGACAAAATTTTGCAGCATTTTCAAATAATTACACTCTTTTTCCAGATCATGTAAGAGATCACCTTTATTAAATATATATGCAGATAGAAATGACATTTTTGCTTCTTACCCTGCACTACAGTGCAATCATTCAAAATAAAAATTAAGTTTGCAGAAAACAAATTAGCTGAAAGACCTTTAGCAAAATGGATAGCCATAAAAATCGTTCTCCTCAGTTTCTAGCAGAATTTGATCAGCCTTTCGAAGAAAGAATCAATAAAAAAACTGGGATAATGACAGGCTTTTCAGATCAGTTTCATATTCCCTCTTAATATCTTTTCTTGTTATGAGTCTAATACTTCAGACAATCAGTGTAATATCTTAAATACCTGATATACACGAACTAAACATGTCAGATGGCTTTAAGGAAAAAACATTGTAAATTCAAAGAAGAAATGCTTTTGTGAACACAGTTTTATTCAACATGAGAAACATTTTGTTGTCCTACTGTGGCTTCTGGTAAGACAGCACACATACGTGCAGTTAAACATTTCATTCTCCACACTACAGCAACAGCAAATTTCAACAATAAAAATAGTGGAGACAATCTGTTGTTACCCCACATCAGTAACAAGAATCTGATAAAGCGTGAGGGTGGATGGGACCTCTGCAGATCATTTAGCCCAACCCCCCTGCTAAAGCAGGATCAAACACAACAGATTTCTCAGAACACTGTGATGTTGGATTTTAAGTACCTCCACAGATGGAGACTCCACCACCTCTCCAGGAAACCTGTCCCCGTGTTTGATTATCCTCACAGTAAAAAAAAAAAGTTCTTCATGTTTACTTGAAGTTCCTTGTCTTTAAGTTCATGCCCGTTGTCTCTTGTCCTGTCATCAGGCTCCATTGAAAAGAGTCTGACTCCAACTTCTTTACTCCCTTCCATCAGATATTTATACATACTGCTAAGATCCCCCTGAGCCTTATCCAAGCTGAACCGTCCCAGGCCTTTCAGAATCTCCTTGTATGACAGATGCTCCAAGTGCTTGATCATCTCCATGACTCTTTGCTGGACTCGCTCCAGCATGTCCACATCTCTCCTGTACTGGGGAGCCCAAAAGCGGGACAGCACTCCAGATGCCATCTGACCCACCACTGTGTAGTGGAAAAGAACTGCCTCCCTCCACCTGCCAGCAACACTCTGCCTAATGCAGTCAATGGAACTGGTGGTCCTTCCTTGCCACAAGATCACATTGCTGCATCATGTGCAACTTGTCCACCAGCTTCTTTGAAAAGCTGCTTTCCAGACGGTTGTGGCCCCACCGCCTCTCAGATGGTGCCTCTGCATGGGGTTATTCTTCACCAGGTACAGGACCCGGCACTTCCCTTGGCTGAGCTTCAGGAGGTTCTTGTGGGCTCATTTCTCCGGCCTATCAAGGCCCCTGTGAATGGCAGCAGATGCTCTTGGTGTATCAGCTGCTCCTCACAGTTTCGCATTTTGTGCAAACTTGCTGAGGGTGCACTTCGTCCCATCACTCAGGTCATTAACAAAGATGTTGAATAATTTTGGCCCCACTATCAATCCCTGAAGTACATCCCTAGTGGCTGGCCTCCAGATGGAGTTTGCGCCACTGATCACAACCTTCTAATCCCAGAACACCAGCCAGTTTCCCATCTACATCACCATCCGTTTCTCTAGTCTATATTGCTTAGGTTTGTTTATAAGGATATTATGGAAGGCAGTGTCACAGCCTTGCAAAAGTCAAGAGAAAGAACACGTACAGATCTCATCCAGTCCACTGAGCTAGCCACTTTATCATAAGTGGCTATCAGGCTGGTCAGGCATGCCTTCCCTTTTGTAAGTCCATGCTGACTAACCTCCATCACCTTGATTCTGTCCTGCAGGTGCAGATCTGCAGGTAGAGAAGCCATCCTTCCTAATGCCAGAAGTCTCAAGCTTCCAGCTGCCACCAGCCTGGGAGTTTCCATTTCCTAACTTGGTAAGCACAATGTATTCCTGCTTCTCCTTCAGTGCAGCTGGAGGTTCAGGCTCTTTTATCTGCAACACCTTGGGGAAGATTCAGTCAATCACTTCCTTATCAGCCCGGATACTGTGCAGTCTGCTGACCTCCTCTCACAGCTCCTCTACTCGGTGATGTAGACACTCCACCACTGCACACCATCTGCAAGCCAGGAGCCCAATTCCCACTGCCCCAGCAAAAGGCTACCCTCTGCAGTCCCAAATCTGAAAAACTGTATGATCCCTCATCCTCATGATCTCCACCTGTGTTGAGGCCTTTGTCATAGGGGATAGACGCTCATGTAGCCATGTAGGCACATGAGAACCATGCTCTGTGGCACAGTGTCAACACTGTAGAAGATGTTGATGCTGTTAGAAATATCCTGGACCCTTGTGTGCAAGCTACTGTGTCTATTAATGACCAAAACAACTAGCTGGAATGGAGTTAAGAAAGTCTTGCAAAAGACAGGAAAGAAAGGAAGCTGATCTTCACTCATTTACTCTAGGAATATAAGCTAAGGAAGTTCTGGATCCTTCCCTCAGAACGCCAGCTTTCCAATCTGCAGTTCTTACCCTTGGTAATACAACCAGTTACATCCCACTCAGCATGTTTGCTTAGGTGCTTTAAAAAATTTTTTCTAGGACCACTAAGAGCTTGCTCTCCAGTCCTGGCAGCAAGAACTTACTTTTGATTTGTTGGAAAATGAACTAAAACGTCCTAAATAACGAAGTTAAGTCTTGAACTTACCACTCGCAACCTCTTGCCTTACTCAGCTTTCACCGAGACCACCAAATGAAAAGGTATCTCACCTGTGCAAACTTGTGTATCTGCTCCACCACAGCTGCAAAGAGGGCATGGACACTTTCATCAATCAGACTCTGCATATAATGGACAGCTTCTTCATCAGACAGGTCCAAACGAAACTTGTCCTGCACCTGGAACAACGGCAGAGATTACAAAAGTTAATTCAAGTTAACAATTAAAACACACACTATTCTATCTGAACTATACAGTAGTCGATACAATTATTTCAGTTATGGAAGTTTAGTAGAGAATCTCTCTTTTACTCCTAAGTTACAGCAAACAACTGGAAATTTACAAAAATACATAATATGCCTATTATTAACTGTTTCATAAAAATGACTATTTAAACAACATAGAAACAGCCCCTCCTACACATCATCCCTCCAACTAATCACTTCAAAGCTCGAGGCCAGAAAGACAAGAGAATACCTGGACACAAGAGTTTAAACAGAACTAAAATGCTACAAGAAGAGGAAATATTCAACATTCACAAGAATGAAATGCCGTTTGAGAAAAAACACAGAACTTTGCATATTAAACAGCACGTTGGAAGGCTCTGGATGATCCTAACCATTTTTTAAAGAATCTAACCACTTCTTTATTCCAACCTTATTTTCAGATAAAATTGTCTTTCAGAAACAGTCAGGCAATTAAACAAACAATATAGAATCAGAGAAAGGGCCAAGGAAATCAATCCTGTCAAAACTGACCTTTATATGGCAAGTGAGAATTTCCTTAACTTCGATTATATCCACCATCCACGTACAGTTGGTTAGAGATACTGCTACCCCTTACAATGTTTTTTCTTTTTACAGAAACATACTTTAACTATTATATCAGAAACACATTCTGCTTAGTACTTGCAATTTGTATATGAATTAAAAGCTGAAAGCACTATAATTAAGAATACAGCAACAACATTTATACTTTCCTATTTCAGCCCTGGCAAAGTCTTGACCCATGAATATTTACAAAGATGCAGCGGATGCCTTTCTGTGACTTCCTACTAATTCCATGCCAATTGTTCAGGACTGTTCCAGATGGCAACATCTCACAAGCACCATTATCACAGATACTCCTTTGGTAATACTCAAAAACCTTTGTACATAGAACGCTCTACAGGAGCCAAGTAAGTTTTGCAGACATGCCTTATCCCTCACAAATTTATGAGAGGCAGATGCATAAAAAAGCATTTTAAATGAGTTCAAATAATCTGATGCATGGACCAAAGAAAGTGCTACAGATATCAAAACATCATTTAAGTTTTCTGTAGTGCTAGCTGTGCAGCAAGGTCTGCATACAGGAATGGCAAGTGGTCAGCTTCTTTTGAAAAAAAAAAAAAAGAAAAAACCAAATTTTTTTGGATAGCAATGCTAACTTTGGGTGCTGAATTTAGAAAACCATTTGTGCTGTTTAAGACCCCCTAGAGAGTCTAAAATCTCTCAGAATTAAGGAGCCTAACATCCCAGCATTCTCTAAATCCCATTCCCCAAAACTTAAAACTACTAATCACTTTGCAAAGTAGTGCTGATCACTGTATGGAAATGGCCCAGCAAATTCCTATTACTTGCAGAAAATTATTTGCTGCCATCCAATCAATAGTTTATTCTCAAAGAAATTTCAAATGATCTGAGCTCTCGCAAAAACCATCATATCCATCTACTTCAGTCTCTATGTGAAGTTGTATCAAACAATTTTTGCATCAAGTCTGTAACTTCTGGTTTACCTGTGAGAATCTCTTTTACAAAGTCTTTATACCAAAAATGCTTCACATTCTAAATAGTTTCAATGATTAATTGTACTATTTAACAATTGTGACTCATTTCCTATCTGAATTTGTCCAATTTCCATCTCGAATAGTGATGTACATTACAACTTTTCACATTAAAGAACTGTCCATCAGAAACGTCTCTCATGTAGACAAATGTCAAATGATTTAAGTTGCTTCTTAGCCTTCTCCTGGATATGACTAAGGAGACTGACTGCAAGACAGAATCAAGTCTTTCCTGAGCATTTTCCATCATTCACTTTATCCAAGCATTGACAAAAATGAGATCCACATTATTTCAATGTTCTTAACAAGGTTATATTGGGGAGATGATACTACCTTCTCTTCCCATTTTGTATTCTTTCTCTGCAAGGATAAAGGACCCTCTTTACGATAGTAAAATACTCCAAGATTTCAGTTTAGTATTACTCTACATTCTTTCTCACAGCAATGCATCCCAGAATAGTGCCCTTCAGCACTACAATAAAAAGCGAAGTCAGCCTGCCAAGTATCGAAAGATAATGCTGCTTCACTCAAAATACTGTTATAACTCTGTTGCAGATATGTTTGAAGTAAAGACAAATTGAGTTTTTCCTCAGTTTCCCCTCAAAAAGAAGTTTGATCGATATGAAAGAAGAGATTAAGCCAGAGAAGTTCCAGCTCTCAAGGAAGCAAGTAGCAAGGAGAGATAGACAAGATATTTCAGGTTAATATTATAGAACTTTTATCTTCATAGCAAACATGATGCAAGAGAAGTTTATCACCCACAGACATATTAGAAGTTTGACAGCCAATGGAGCACACAGTAGAATCCACCTGAATTTAATGGACTACTCTCATGCTTTCAAATATGCACAAACGTATGGTACCTCCCCAGGTTAGAGCGCAGACTTCTATCAGATCTATTTTCATGCTCATAGAATAGGTGATGCAATGAAAACTCAGCAAAATCGCTAACTGCAGTTTAAAAAAAAAATCACTATAACGCTTTTACACAATTGTAGTAATCAAGCACTTCAGTGACCTTCTAATTTGTTCATAGAAGAACTTCTCAGAAAGTCTTGCAGTTACTGATGTTGAAGCAGCTTCGTTCTATGGAATTAATGACTATTTAAACGCACTCCCCACCTTAGCGAGGAGCAGAGTGGCATACTGATGTATGTGGAAAGGAATTTACCCACAGTTAGAACTTAAAAACGGTTTGCAATTAACACCAGGATCAAATGCTGCTGAGTACTAGATCTCTACATGAAAGTTTTTGGCACTGCAATTAAAACTGACTGTTGCAAACCAGCTGAGAAGAAACACAGCAAGATGACAAATCCTCTCTTGAGCTGCAACAGCAGCTGCAAGGTTAACATGCACTGACTTCAAGTTCTTCTAAACAAAACAAAAACAATAGTAATGCTTCTTTGAAATTTATGAGCTCCAAAGTAAACAATGTATTCTGAAACCCAACGGTTTCTCACAGAGAAGGTGCAATTAAGAAGGAGATCCTGCACAGTTAAAAAGAAAGAAAAAAAAGTAATTTAATTTGGGGGGTCACATTCTGATGAACATACTCACTCTAGACACTGAAGAACAGCCACCATGAAGGCATGAAAAAACGTCCCACCTGGATTATTTAGAGTTCTCACTTTGGCATTTACAGTAAGTGAATCTTGTTAGCTTAGTCATTAGTATTGTCAAAGAGCAAAGAAATGTACTTGACGAATCTGGTTAAACTTTCACTTTGTTTCCAGAAAGGAAAGTTTTAAACCCCACACCATATACACACATTGATTTTAAATATCAGGTCTCAGGAGCAGAATTTTAATGTTTAAAGGTGAAAAGGTTGAATAAAGAACTAGAGAATCCATAAAGACACTGACATTCCTCTTTAAGGTTTCAAGTTGTCCGCTTCCTATCCCACTGTACAGTGGATAGTTTAGTAATAGAGCCTAAAAAAACAGGAATGGAAAGTTACATGAATCTACATGACTTAGTGTCCTGGGTTCAGCCAGGACAGGGTTAATTTTCACCGGAATCCAGGAAGGGAATCCAGGAAGGGGCACAGCCGGGCGGGCTGACCCCACCTGGCCAAATAGAGCCGGGTATTCCATACCATGTGCTGTCATGCTGGGTTCCGGTGGGAGGGGAGCTGGGGGCGGGAACTCACTCGGGGCTCGGCGGGGCGCTCTGTTAAACTGCCCTTATCCCGACCCACCAGTTTCTGCCTTTCTTTCCACTCTCCTCTGCACCCCGGTGGGGGGAGGGGCGGCCATGTGGGGCTTTTGTCACCAGCTGCAGTCAAACCAGAACACTTAGAAACATTATACTTCAGTTTAATTTGAAGTGTCCTATGAGAAAGCTACTGTCAGTTATCATGATAGAGCTTTTCTTTCTCAAAAGACAAAGAAAATAAAAATTTGAAACGTAAGAGGCCATAAACCACAAGGAATAGTTCAGAAGAAAATATAGGAGCGTGTGGGTGAGGGGAGAAACATTTCAGTACAAATTTCTTGGCACTGAGCTGAGGACAGTAACAGAAAAAAAGCTTATCATCACTTGCTGCAGAATCACACAGTGGATGGGAACTTAGCAAAGTAACAAGCCAAGAAAATAAAAAAAAAAATATTTTACAGTAAAAACATCACGAAATACCACTTTACACCTGTTTATCAACAACAGCTGAACCAAAGGTAACAGAAAAGCACTACAAGAGAAGGAACTGGATACTTAGTAGCTCCCTCACCTTCCAGCACAGTGTACAAAAACATTGTAATAACAGATACAGATTTTATTGGTGGTGGTGTGTTGGTTTAGTCTTTTTCCTGTGACTGACATGTATCAAAAGTCTTCACACATTCCATTACTGCTGCCCCATGTAATGAATTTTTCAGTATCTGGAGAGATTACAGATTAAAGCATTAACTAAAAGATCCTCTTTTTTTTCAATGCAAAGATGAACCTATACCGCACTTACATTTGATATGGTGTAAAGTTGCATTTACACAATTTACTTAAGAATCAGGTCACAGTCTGCAGATACATTATTATGCCTTCCAGAATAGTTTAAACCTATGGATTAAGATGATAAGATGCAGGGAGGGGGGTGTGAAATAATAAAAAATACATGAGTTTTGACTAGACTTTTGCTGAAAAAAACCAAACAAAACTACCAGAAAACAAAAAAATAATCCCCCAAATTAGAATTAACAACTTCTGTTCCTCTACGTGCCAAAACAACATAAAACCCCCACCTCAACCCAAAATCAAGTGGTCACTTCACTCATCCATTGTGAAAAACCCCCAAGGTCCTATGTTGACACAGCCTGATCAGAGCAAACACTAAGCAGAATCTCACACCTTAAATTCTACAGC